ATGGGACACAGCAACAAGGGGACACAGTTGGAAGCTGAAGACACAGATGAATCACAGGGATGTTAGAAAGTATTTCTTCAGCCACAGAGTAGTCAGGAAGTGGAATAGTTTGGGAAGCTATGTAGTGGAGGCAGGATCCAGTCATAGCTTTAAGCAGAGGTATGATAAAGTTCATGGTTCAGGGAGAGTGACCCAGTAGCGGCTAGTGAAGAGGCGAGGCCAGAAGCTATGACTCGACCCCTGCAACCACTAGGTGAGTACACTCACACTCTCCCTCCCTCCCTCTGAAAGACGTAGACTGAGAGATATATAGTTGAAGTATACAAGGTTTTAGCTTCAATAATTCTATAAACATATGCTAAGCAGATCCCTGTAACTGTGACGTGGTCTCTTTATTAGAGTACATGCAAGGTGTGGGGTGTGTTTACTCACTCTCTTACAGACATAGACAGACATTCATCCATTTGTTGTCATAGTTCTAGGCGTATTTGGTTTCTACGATGGTGGTGTTTACCCTTGAGGTGTAAGGAAACTTGCTTATATGATCCACAAGCTCAAGATTTAACCTGGGTTCTTCTGTGAACCGAAGGCTTTACTACTAAGCTACAAGATACCTATTTGTGTATTGTTCTCTTGCATTCTAGCGTCTGATTTGACAGTGTCTACAACTATGTGAGACGGACGCGGAGGATCTGTCGCTTTGTTCTAGTAATCGGTAACTAGACTTTGAAAGTCTTTGATTATTCTTTGACGATCAGTAGCCAGAGCTGGATCGTTAGGCAGCATTCTGACCAAGTCAAACTTGCTTATGAATGATAGATGCAACATCAGCACTTTATTGCAACGTTGGTTTTCCCCCATGTCCAGATCTAAACAGAATTAGCTATTTACGTTGACTGATTTGTTGGGTTTGTTGCCTGTCGATTACATGAAGAACATTAAAGATGCATTTTACCTGTTAACGACTAGTTAAAAATACTTCAGTCCCTTGAATAGAAATTAAAATGTTCTGTGTATTTACACTAACACTGGCCACTGGGCAATACTGGCAACAGTAAGAAAAGCAAAACTGCGTGTGATATCTGCAACAATATTTTTTTGTCGTTCATGTCAACAGTAACAATGTTGTTGATGAGATCTAGCTCTTAACGCCTTAGTCTTGTCAGTGAATCAGAAAAAAATTAATAAACGATTATAATGTTTTCAAAGAATGTACCTCCGTATCTGCTGCACCGAGGGATGTACACATTTTGATGTACATACCTTGTGTGAGTGTTATTTTAGGTTAGGTTAGCTTCAAATGTATTATCCGAAAGTAATCATTTCTAACGGAACGGATAATAAAGCTAAAATGACTGTTTAAACAATGTAAAAAAATTTTTTCAAAATTCTTTTCTTTTGTGGAAAATACTGTATATATTTTCCAGAAATACAGTAGTTATATGTAAATAGATGGCCATACTGTATTTAAAAGAATTATATTATGAAAATGGGAAACTGGACCTGCGCCTGCGCAGGACAGTCGCCATTGTTTTGTTTGAATTGGACACTAACGGTAGTGTATAATGGGAAGAATTTTTCGTGCTATAGAGGTTAAAATTGGGTTGACACCTCTCAAATAGGAGGCGAAATTGTTGGATGTGCATTCCTGCATAACTTGAGATAAACGGCGACTGGACAAGACAGCTCCAGGAACCTCAGATAAGTCTGTTATGTTTAACTCTGGCCAGTGTTATTTTCATAGATAGACAGTGAGGTTTTCTGAGCATGATACACATTAATCTCCAGTCAAATTGGTGAGAGTTATGATTAAGATACATTCTCCTTCTGTTGTATAAATGTGTGTATATATATATATGTCGTGCCGAATAGGCAGAACTTGCGATCTTGGCTTAAATAGCAACGCTCGTCTAGACATACAGGACAAGTGAAAATTTGTGTATGCAATAATTTCGCCAAAATCATTCTGAACCTAACGAAAAAAATATATTTGATTGTGTTTGTTTAGTACTAAATTATTGTAACCGTATTTAAAATATATTTAGTTGGGCTAGGCTAAAATAAATTGCTCTTGTTATAATAAGGTTAGGTAAGTTTTCTAAGATTTTTTTAGTGCAAAATTAAAAATTTTTACATTAACATTAATGAAAAAAGTATATCTTTAAACGTATAAGAGAAAATTTAAGAAAGGACTTAATTTTAAATGAGTTCTTGCTAATTGACCAGTTTTGCATATTCGGCACGACATTATATGTATATATATATATATATGTATGTATGTATGCATGTATGTATGTGTATATATTTTTTTTTATTTTTTATTATCACACTGCCGATTCCCACAAGCAGGGTGGCCCAAAAAAGAAAAACTTTCACCTCATTCACTCCACAACATGTTTGCCAGAAGGGGTGCTTTTCATACAGTTTTTAAACGCAAAAAATTAACACCCCTCCCTTTAGAGTGCAGGCACGTACTTCCCATCTCCAGGACTCAAGCCCGGGCCCGCCCGGGTTTCCCCCAAACCCTTATAAATGTTACTTTGCTCAACTTTTCCAAAAGCACGTCAAATATTAAAAACTTTGTCTCATTCACCCTACAAACACGCTCACGCATGCCTGCGGAAATCCAAGCCCCTCGCACACAAAACCTCCTTTACCCCCTCCCCCCAACCCTCCCAGGGCCCAAAACCCCACCCCCCTTCCTTCCATACAGACTGATTACACTCTTGAAGTCAATTTTGTTTTTGCTCCATTCTCTCTACATGTCCGAAAACCCCCTCAACAACCCTTCCTCAGCCCTCGGAAACAGTTTTGGTTAAAACCCCCCCGCACCCCTTCCCCAACTTCCAAAATACGAATTCTCTGCATTATTTCACCCACACACACAAAATTTTATATATATTTTATATATATATATAATTTTATATATATTTAAATATATTTTATATTATATATATATATAATTATATAAATATATATATAAAATATTATTTTTTAAAAATACGGGCCACACAAAATTTTTATTAAAACCCGAAAATTTCCCGATGATGTATCTTTTATTTATAATTTAAAAGGTCCAGGGGCAAACTTTTTGTTATGACAGTGGTTTGGGACGAAGGGGGGGGACATTTTTTGGGGACCAAGGGGGTCCCCAAAAACCTACTTGTCCCAACTGATAAATAATTTAAATTTCTGTGTTCATTTTCTGTTATGTACTAATGATACATTCAGATAAATGTAAAATTTTTCCCCATCTTTTTTAAAAACCCGTTTTTGGAAAATGGGTTGTAACAAGCCGGACTTTTGGGGATGGGAAATTAAATCCCGAAGGGGCCTCTCAAAAATTTCAGAAATTTTATTTTTTCATTTGCTTATTTTCCCCAGTCCGGCTCTAGATCCCCTATCTGAAAAACGCATTAAGTATCAGCAATTATAATTTTATATGAAAAATTTTTTTTACGATTTAACATGGTTTTGAACAGCCGTTTCCCCAAATGAAGTAACCCTCTTCCAGATTTTTTAAGTATCCCGTCCCGCATTCTTGCTAAGTTACTTGTTTTCACAGCCTTTTTCCCCCGTTAAACTTGAAAAAAAAAGGCCTCGACGCTTCCCATAGTTTTAAAGGGTTTAAAAGAGTGTAAATCCCGGCCCCCCGTTGTATGGTAGCAGGGAAAGAGACTAAGAAATTTTTTCGATGTTAGGGTTACTAAACCCCTGAGGGTTAAAAATCCAAGAAAAACTTTAAACAGCCCCGGGAAAAATTTTCAAATTTGGTTTCCCTTTTCACGGCCCCCTTCCCCCCGGAATAACCCAAAAACCGTACATTTAAAGCCCAGGTATCTACTTTTAAAGCTAAAGGGAACAAGGGCCAGCAAATATTAAGAGAAAAAAATTTTCCCAAAAAATCCCCCCCCACAAAAAAACCCAAAAAACCCTTAAAA